AGCAGGAAATTCCCCTTCTAATACAGAATGGGACATATGCCGCTTTGGAAAGTGCATTACAATCTCCAGGTATCAGAAGCCATATATGCAAAGGTTTATGATTAATCAGTGGCCATAATGAAGCGCTAAAGAAACTAAGAAAAAGTAGTAAACAAAAAACCCTAACAGACTACTTCCATATTAATAACTAAAGTGATGAACTTTAGTAGGAAAAGTAGGAAAAGCTTTTCGGAGTCATGTAAGATAAATAACAAACTGCATCTTTAAAAACTTCTTCCTGTTAGTTCTGCTGTGATAACCTCCTCAGGATGTTAGTATTGGGTTAGAATCTCCATACTGAATCCATTTTAAAGCTGTCTTGCTCTAACATGAAGCTTGTGAGTGAGCTTAGATTTCATTGGAAATGCTGTGATCATTTCTTAAATTGTTCTTAAAAAAAACCAACCCAAACTACCAAACTCAGATCAACCAAAAAAAACCCCAAAACCACAACTTACCATAATCTTCCCATTTTCTTCTTTATCTAAATACTGATCACTGAACATGTGGGAAGAGCCCAGCGCTGCCATCTTTCCACCTTGATTCTATCAACAAAGAAAAAAATATAGCAAACAATCCTTCCAGATCTTCCAAATCACAGTTTTGAGTGAATTGTTAATGCCGTCTAATTAGAAAGTGGTTTAAATAAATAAACAGGAAATTTCAGAATAAGTAGTGGCAAAAGCAGCTTCAGACTTGGCAAGCTCACAGGAGTATGGCACAGCAGCATTCTAAGCGTATACGCTGTTAAGGTACATAAATTTATTAAAAATACTGATCTGCATTTCGTAAGAGTAGACAGACAACTGACAGCCTTACGAAGATATTCATGACACATCTTTGGAATTCTCCTCTAAGATTACTCTTAATCCTTCCTGGAAGACATACACAAGAAACACTAAGTTTTCAAGACAAGGAACCCTGTAATGCTCCTGCACCGACTATGAAACTCATCACATGACATAACCATGCATACTGCTGTAACAAAACTGAAGATACACGAAACAAAGCTCCAGTTTGTTCAAAAAAATTGCTGATGTTTTGCACTCGTTTTGCAAGGGTTTAACCCAAGTTCTACATGCCTTACCCACAACAGTACTTCCAGTTGCTATTCTTTACTGTATCTCTTTTTTCACTCCAAGAGATCTTGTTTTCCTCCTACCAAGTTTCTCTGCTCTGAGAACCTCTGTGTCTGCCTTCATCTTGTACCCTTGTGCCTGTAATTTCCTTGAGGTAGACAGGAAAAATGCTGCCACCTATTTGACATGGATGTCACCCTACTAGATCAAAGGAAGAACACTTCAGTAATCAATTCATGCAAAACACATTATATGGATTTCACTGGCAGAATAATTTAGTTGTTGTAGTTCTTATAACAAAGCACTCCTCTCCATACCCATTAGGGGAAGCACATGAGGCCCCGCATAAACAGGCGCAGTCTTGAAACAAGAACATCAACCAGCAAGGCTATAATCCCGATAGAGTTGTCATACACAATCATGGAATGGTTTGGGTTGAAATGGAGCTTAAATATTATTCAGTTCTAACCCCCTGCCATGGGCAGGGACACCTTCCACTGGACCAGGTTGCTCAAAGCCCCATTCGACTTGGCTTTGAACCCGTCCAATCTGGCCAAATCCCATCCAACCTGGCCTTGAGTTAAGGTTTTGTAGAAATTAGATGACTTATGTCACAAAAAGACAAATTCATCATTAATGTGTATAATTTCAGATTATCAGGAGTTCAAAACTAGGCATGAGTCTGGGGAGTCCACTGGATCTATGTGCAAATACTGTGTAAGTGAAGGGATTTTATTATATCTTACTCTGACAGCTGCAGACAAAACGCAAGCAGTAAGTGTACTTGTGAATTCACTTCATGCTGCTGTACTGTCTTTGTTTTACAGACTTTATTCAGCCACAACATGGGGGGGATGACCTTGGGCATCCTCAAATGCCCAACTAACAAAGATGTCAAAAAAAATGTAGTAATGTTAGAAACTCATCTACATAGCAAAAAATGTGTTAATGTGTTTACCTTTGCCAACAATATTAATCATTTGTTTGTACTTATCAACTACTATTGGATTTATGGTTGTGTCGTGGTTCAAGCCCAGCCGGCAACTTGGAACCATGCAGCTGCTTGCTCACTGCCCCCCTCTTCCTTCCTCCCCCCTGCTCCTGGAGGGATGGAGAGGAGAATCAGAGGAATGTTAACTCCCACGGGTTGAGATAACAGCACTCCAGTAACTAAGGTATAATACAAACCACTGCTGCTACCAATAATAATAAGGGAAATAACAAGGGGAGAGGACACAACCGCTCACCACCCGCCGACCGATACCCAGCCCGACACGAGCCGCGATCTGGGCCTTCCGGGTAACTCCCCCCAGTTTATATACTGGGCATGACGTGCTATGGTATGGAATAGCCCTTTGGCCAGTTTGGGTCAGGTGTCCTGTCTCTGCTTCCTCCTGGCTTCCCCTCCTCCCTGGCAGAGCATGAGACTGAGAAAAGTCCTTGGTCAGAGTAAACATTACTGAGCAACAACTAAAAACATCGGTGTTATCAGCGTTGTTCCCAGGCTTAAAGTCAAAAACACAGCACTATACTAGCTACTAAGAAGGAGAAAAAATGACTGCTGTAGCTGAACCCAGGACAGGTTGGTTTTATAAATTAACAGGGCTGGATGGGTTACTCAACATACAAACATTCCAAGGTGACAGTCCTCTTCCTTAACACAATATGGTGTATTGTTGAAGCTAATTATAATCTTAATTAATAAATGACCAGTAAAGCAGTGGAAAAAAAAACCCCAAACTTTAAAGAAGAACTAAAAATATCCATCTATCAACCAAATATCATTTTTGCTGACCATCAAATTATCCTCTGAACCCCATGCAAAGAAGTTTATCATAAAAGAAGACAGGCTCATCAAGAGTTTGCAGACACCTCAAAACCAGAATCATAGAATCAGATGGAGTTGAAAAAACCTTTAAGATAATCAAGTCCAACTGTTCCCAGCACTGCCAATGCCACCACTAAACCATGGTACTGAGGGCCTTGTCTACATGGTTTGTGAAGACTTG